GGGGGGGGGCAGCACAACCCCGTGGGGCAAAAGATACCATATATATGCCTCATTAGTTAATGAATTTTGGGTGAAATGTCCGAGTTCTGCGGCGCAGAGGGTGCTCTGGCTCTGGACAGCGTCGCTGTTTGGCATAAAATTTGCTTTTTCTGACGTTGCGCGTGGCTTGCTATGGGCTTAGCACGTAACATTTGGTTCATTCCTATAATAATAAAAGGGAAGAAAGATCCTACAAAAGCTGCACCCAAGGAAGGGAATGTAACTTCTGTCACAGCCAAGTATATTATCTGCAAGCCTCAGAAAGGAGGGACACCGTACGCAGAAACAAACTTGGAGAAGACCCATGGATGTTAACGGGCAGTAATTTGGACATCAATTTGCAATGCAATCTATTAGCTCCCCCCACCCCCCCCCCCCCCCCAAAAAAAAAAAACCCAACCAAAAAAAAAAGGGAAAACTGTGCAATTTGCAATTTTATGTCCAGAAGCAATATATCGCAGCCTGGGTTGCTGTTTGTCCCTTTGTACCCTGCACCGGCAAGACGGCTGCCAGTTGCTTTGCCTGCAAACCTCAGAACCAGAAAGATGAAAACAAACTGATGGGGATTTAGAGAAGAGCAATCAAAATTATTAAGGAGCTGGTGGTATTAATTTATGGAGAGAGATTAAAAGATGTAACTGTGTGTAAATTAGAAGTAAGTAGGGGTAAGAAGAATAGAGAAGTTTTTCGCGAGGTATGAGTGGAACAGAGGAATTATTTGAAGAGTTTTACAGGCTTTAGTCAACAGCAGTTAGGAAGAAAATGAAGGGAGGAAAGCGCATGCTTAGCGTCAAAAATAATATCCTGGTAGGGAGGCTCTGTCAAGCCAGAAAAATCATTTAGAAGTTGTGGGAGCTCATTGATAGAGTCATTTGTGACTGTGCTGTGCAAATCATATCACATGAGGTACCGTAGGGAACAGTTCTGTGCTGGAGGGAACATGGAGATGATAATCTGGCAGACCTTTCCTCTTCAGTTCCTGGAGTTTTCAGGCCAGGTGGCATGCAGCGCAGTCAGCACTGACGGACCTGCAAACTACAGGGCTTCATGGTCACTTGTGAAGTACTGGATGCAGCAGTGCTTCTATGGATGTCAAACACGGGCATGTCCCCACTCCCTCCTGGATCTGAATTAGGCCAAGGTCCCGGGACAGGGTCCACGAGAGGAAAATTGGGCAGGCAGGTCAGAGAGGAATGGGAACGGCTTCTGCAGAGATCTCCCACCTGGACCACGGCAGAAGATGAACCCTGGCACGCAGCTGCGAGGCACACAGCCTGTCGGACCACCGGGCTTCTTCTTCAAATAAAAATCTCTGTCTCCTGTGGCAAATAGATCTGCCTTGAGGTTTGAGAAATCTACCTTAGAGTCACTAGCTGTCGGCATCTATGAATTAAGCAGAGAAATAAATTATTAAAGAAAATCTGACAGGAGTTATACTTCTCCTGCTGCCATCCTTCTCTTTCATATCTTGATATACATACATCTTCAACAATTATTTAATCGTATTTATATTTCATAAAGGCCATTCTCAGGACATGACTGAACTTAGGGAGGTCTGACAATGCGGCTGCATCCTAACCGCTGTGGTACGTGTTTCACACTTCCACGCTGCCCCATGGAGGCGGCATTTGCTTGGCAGTACCTGGCTCCGGAGGGGCACTGAGAGCCACAGGTCCCAGGTGCGGCCCCAGCCAGCGCTTCCCCACGGCAGTTATCTTCTGACTCCCAGAATGGACCTAAGCTCTGCTTCCCAGAGGTAAAAAGCAACTATTTTGACCCAGTGTACCGGAAGCACTGTTGCAAAACAAGATATACCGATTCCTTCTTTAAGGTTTCAACTTTAATCATTCGTAGCTAGTCAATCTGGTTGCTAGTGTGGGGACATGGTGCCAGGGACAATTTCATCTGGCTTACCTCCCCTTCTCTTGTGGTCCCGTGCTGGATGTAGGAATAACAGCCCCTGGGGAAGAGGGGAATTGTTGTCAGACTGGGATTTTTGGTGGTGCCCTCAAATGCAGCTCATGCCATTGAAAAGACCAGTTAGCCTTGATGCTTGATTGGTTTTGCAGTTTTCTTCCCCGAAATATACTCTTCTGTTTTTGAAAGCTGTCAATGGAGAATGGTGTTAAGTGGAATAATAACGTGTTGCGATGACTTAGTTCTGACCTTGGGGTATTCTTGTCCTCACAGCTATTCACAGGAGACGGCAGAAGAGATTTGTCACATACACAAGGGACTAATGTGCTACCCACCTTGCAGACACCTGTGGTTTGGTGTGGAGCGGTCCTCCCCTCGATGCCTGGGTCACGCCTCTGTGGCACTGTGTGTCACAGACCAGTGTTTTACTGTTGCATCCACAGCCTTAGTTCCAGATTGAAGATGCTCATTTTGTGTACAAAGGGTAATACCGTAAGGAAAAACTCACAGGTCACCAGGCAATGCTTGATGGAGTGCTTGGTCTGAACCAGCAGGAGGGTTTTCAGGACGGCCATTGATAACATTTTGGGAGCCAAATTCTGTTCTCAGCAAGAGATCTGGTTGCGAAGCGCAGTATTATTTAGTTTCATCCCTTCAGTTCTTTATCCCTACGTCCCAAAGGACAGAAGAGGATGGTGCAGAGTTTGCTTTCTCCTCGAGGCAGGCTATATACAGCAAAGAGAAACCTCAGCCACATCTCAGTTGTTAGCTTTGGCACTAGAAGCAATATATCTACATTAACATGGTGATTTCCTCAGATTTTTTATCCTGCTTTTCATCATGCACTAGGCGGTACGCCCGGCATGACTATACTTCTGTTAGGCCCTGAGCTAACTCAGAAAGCTATGTGTTGCATTTTGCAAGGTGGACATGCACTCCAGCTGCTCTGCGTGGTGTATGCAGCTCATGTCTGACCTAAACTGGCACTCAGTCCCCTACACAGAGCTGGCTGAGAGTTGGGGCAGGAAGGGAATATAGGGTATAGGATCAGGAAGGCTCCTTGGAAGGAGAGTTGGAGCAGACGACGAGCTGAGCAGAGAGATGCCTAAGGCATCTGTGAGCAAATGCCAGCATGTGAGCTGAGGCCAAATTATTCGATAGACTGAAATACCTGTTGAAGCACAGCCTGAATCCTAGGTCTTCCCTGAGGCACCCTGACCACCAGGCAAGGAGGTGGTGATGGCAAACTCCTGTCATCTGCTGCCAAACTTACTTTAGTAAAGCCTCCTTCCTGGCTGCCAGTGCATGCCCACACCTCTGGCAGCCCCAGTGGTGGCACAGATGCCCGCAGTGATGCTACATGCAGTCACTGTCACTCACTCTTAGCCATGAATGTTTATGCATTTTCAAACGAAGCAGAAGAGCTTCGTGAGGACTGACAAAGACACCCACCCTGGAAACATCTGCACTCAGGGGCTGCAACACCCTCTGCAGCAGTGGGAGACCCCTGCACCATGTCAGCTGGCCAGGGGATGCAAACCTGCGCCCCGGGGCCAGGGCGAGAGCTGGAGGCACCAGCAGCACCTCCTCACCCTGCCTCAGCCTAAGCAACGTCTGCATGTGCTGCGTCACAAAACATCCCTCTCTCCCTCAGGGATAGCAAGCACCACTGGCCTTGGACACGTGCTCGGGCTGGGGAGATTGCACGCATGAGGTAGTTGCATATTTAGGCTAAGTCTCCTAAAATGTGATTGCTGACTTTAGGTGATGGTAGTGATCCAGATGTTCACCCTTTGGTCTAAAACCCCAGCCCTTCGTATGCAAGTCCACTGTGGGCAAGCCAGATGACCAAGTGTCTTCTTTAACTGGCAACTCTTGCTTGTATCGTCCTGTCAACAAAACTCTGGGAGCTGAATTGATTAGTTGTTGTGTAAGCGGACAAACTTGGTGCAGATTGGTGTTAAAATTGTAAGAGAGATTACGAGCTAGCTGGAGGTGTGAGTGTGCAGGAAGTAAAAAGTTTTGGCGGGTTTGCTGAACCCCTGCAAGCTGTGAGC